CTGCGACTTTTTTCAAAATCAACATTTTGAAAATGTAGAACCTTTTATGTTGTTAAATTTTTTTGGCGTCCAACGTTGTGTCAAAATAAATTTTTGTTTTGGTGTTTGGGTCATATCAAAAGAATTTAAATAACGATTATCATAAATTTAACACACTGAATGTTTGGCGCCCAACATAGTAACCACATGTTATATTCATATAGAAAAAATCCTTATTTTTTCTGTATAAGAAGTCGCAGTTAATGAGGACAGTTTTATTTCTTTATAGAGTTCTGAGGTTTTTTTTCAAAATCAAAATTTTTGAAAAGTTAGCCCGTCTTTGTGTTGTTAAATTTTTGGCGCCCAACGTGGGTTCAGCATAAATTATTGTTTCTGATGTTTGGTCCATGTTAAAGAATTTAAATAAAGATGCTCATAAATTTCTTTGTTCAAAAATTCGTCACACTGAATGTTTGGCGCCCAACATGAAATCCATATGTTATATACCATATAGAAAAAAACCCTTCAGTTACTAGGACATTTCTTTTTTTCTGAATAAGAAGTCACAATTAATGAGGCAGTTTTATTTCTTTAAAGAGTTCTGAGTGTTATTTTTGAAAATCAAAAATCTTGAAAATTTAACTAGTCTTTGTGTTTTTAAATTTTTGGCGCCCAACGTGAGGTCAGCATAAGTTATTGTTTCTGGTGTTTGGGTCATGTCAAAAGAGCAACTCTTTTTATAGAAAAAATTCTCTTTTACTGAATATATATATTTTTTTTCATAGAAAAAAAGCCCCTCGGTTAATATATCAAAGTATAAGATGTGGAGCACACATTGGGCGCCAATAGATATAATATTATAAAATAATCGCAATTAAAATTTATTTCCATAACCCAAAAACATTTACATTTACAAAACATTTAAATATTTAAGTTATGTCTTTGTAAAAATTTAAATATTAAATTTTAGTCATTGTTTTTAATGTTTTTATTTTCTGGCGCCCAACATGTGGTCAGATGTTGAAATTAAAATATAAAAAACAACGAATTATTGTCCAGGTTTTTCGAGTAAATGAAAAATGAATTGTGATTAGTAAATTTTTTAATAAAAAATCCGTTCATTTATGTATTTTTTAATATTGAATGGTTGGCGCCCAACGTGGACTTCACGTTATTTTTACTTTTTTTAGAAAAATGTCCACAGCAAGGAATAATTATATTTCTTTCAATTATATTTCTTTCAAAGCTTTTTTAAAATCACTTAGCCTTGAACATATAAAAGATATCTGGTGTGGAGAATAATACCCACTCGTCGTCGTCCACCTATACTCGAAGAGATATTTTTGTGACTTTATCTGTGTCTCAATTGTTACGGCTTGCCTGGTTTATCGCATAAATATTTACCGTCAAATTGTGGCGTAATCTATGTTAACCGCCAAAGCTTTAAAAAAAGAAAAAAAAAAAAACAATACCAACACCACAATGAAATCGCTATTACCTTATTTTTTCCTATATACGTGGTGTTTTGGCCCGATAATTGTACTTCCCGATAAGATAAAATTGAAATTAATATTGTTTTCATCGTTGTTGTTTGTGGCGCTTTTTTAGAACAACGTCAGTAGACTATAAAACTTTAGTGAAACGAAAAAAATGCCAGTAAATTGAAAAAAAGCAAAGATAAAAAAATAATTTGTGACAATTGTGTTTGTCACACACTCATACAATACAATTGATTTCGTATCGGTGAAATAAATGCGGTACAAAATTGACAGCATGGGTAACGGAATTTGTTTTCGGTAATAGAATTTTGACATGGAGCTATGTATTATTTTCTTCGGTCTTTTTGATTTCCCATGCAACAAATTGATTTGTTATTAGAATATATACTGACCATAATATATCATCGAAATCTTTGTATCACAATAATAATCCGATTTCCAAAATACAGACTCAAGAATAAGTCACTGGAGTTTTTATTATCAATTTCGTATTTTCTCAGAAAACTAGACAGTCATTAAAAATTTTTTAAATTCCCTTCATTTTCTTTCTTTATTCTTCTGTCATATATTGCACAATTTTATTTTATTGGCTATTTATGACTTCAGTATTTTGATAAGCTTAGGTACACAAAACTTTTGTATATCAATACTTGACCCACTTTTTAGTATTGTTATATAATAATTGTTTCTGACTTTATATTTTTAACTGATAAAATTTTTAATTGCTGGATATTGGTGTAGATAATTTTTTTCAATAATAAAAATAAAAAAATGGTTAGATAATCAAACATTTCTATGTAGCATTTTCTTGTATTTTAAAGTAAATAATTTTTTGTCCTGCTATTTGCGTCATATCATGTCATGGCATCTAAGGTTAATGGATATAGAAAAAATTCTCAGGACACATTTTAGAAGTCACAGTCAATGAGGATATTTTTTTCCTTTATAGAGTTGTTAGGCTTTTTTTCAAAACCAAAATCATGAAATTTTAACTCTTCTTTATTATGTTGTTAAATTGTTGGCGGGGTCAGCATAAATTATTGTCCTGGTGTTTTTGTCATGTCAAAAGAATTTAAATAATGATTATCATAAATTTGTTTTTTCAATAATCCGTCACATTGAATGGTTGGCTTTAACATGAAAACCACAAGTTATATTTCATACAGAAAATTTTTTTCAGTTACTAAGTACAGTTCTTTCTTCTATATAAGAAGTCACATTTAATGAGGATAGCTTTTATTTGTTTCAAAATCTTCAAAATTTAACTCTTCTTTATGTTGTTGAATTTTTGGCGCCCAACGTCAACATAAATTTTTGCCATAAATAAACATAAATTTTTTGCCATAAATAAACATAAATTTTTGCCCTGGTGTTTGGGTCATGTCAAAAGAATTTAAATAAAGATTATCATAAATTTGTTTGTACAACAATTCTTCACATTGATTGGTTGGCTCCACGTTGGGCGCCAATCACTCAATCTTATATTCCATATTGGAATTCACAAGTTATATTCCATATAGAAAAAAATTCTCACTTCTTCACTTCATAGTTAATGAAGACAGTTTTTATTTCTTTATAGATTTGAAAGGGGGTTTTTAACAAAATCAAAATCTTCTTTATGTTGTTAAATTATTGGCGCCCAACGTGGGGTCAACATAAATGTTAGTCCTGGTGTCTTGGTCTGGTCAAAATAATTTAAATAACGATTATCATAAATCTGTTCCATGTTAAATAGTTTATGTTCACATCACGTTGGGCGCCAGTAACGGAGGATAGAGAAAAAATTCTCAGTGCATAAGATCTGAATAAGGTCCATAATGCATATTGATCCACGTTGTTTGCGCCATCATTTTTACAAATATCACCTTATGTGACCCATAAACCAGTATAAGAATTTATGTCTGCCTCATGTTGGGCGCCAAAAATGTGGGTAATTTAAAAAAGAACTAGTTTAAGATATTTGAGACGAGGCAGTATGGCAACAGACTCTGAACGTAATGGACACTTAATGAAGTGATTCACTGATACCTGGAGGTAAACAATTAACAGCAATTATCATATAATCATATTTAGAACCCTATACGAGTATTGGACAAACCTACTGAGAATATTTTTTTCTATGAAGGAAAAATTTCTCAGTTACTAAGGATGCCCTCTTTTTTATAAGAAAAAAACCTCAGTTTCTATAGAAAAAATCTTAGTTATTGCAGTATTATATTGAAGATCACACATTGGGCGAAAACAATTCGCTTTTAGCAAATAAAGAAGTTACGGATTGTTTTTAACCAAAACATTAAAATCGCCGGTGTAACCAATAGCTAGGCTTTCATCTTCTCACCGAAAATATTTTTGACCTCATCGACAATAAGTTTGCGCTTGAGTTTGGCATTTTTTTACGTTCTCTTATAAGCTGAGACCTCTATATAGGGGCAAGGGTGAAACATTCTTTTTTATTCTCCAAGAGGTTGGATAGTTCCAAATTCTCTTCGACTTGTTTTTAGGGTGGCTGTTTATTGGGTGACTCCATTGGAGCATGACAATTTTCATTTGAATGTGGACCCCACGTTGGGCGCCAAAAATTAAAAAAAATGAATTTAGAAGATATTTGGAAGAGGTTGGATAGTTCCAAATTCTCTTCGACTTGTTTTTAGGGTGGCTGTTTATTGGGTGACTCCATTGGAGCATGACAATTTTCATTTAAATGTGGACCCCACGTTGGGCGCCAAAAATTAAAAAAAATGAATTTAGAAGATATTTGACAGACTGTGATCGTAATGGACGATAAATTCAATTATTACTTGATACCCTGAAGGAAAATAGTGAGGGTTGATCATATATAGCAGTTATTCCAAACAGTTATAATAGAAAAAATCAGCAAAGGCTGAGACCATTTGTTTCTATTGGAAAAAAGAAATCCTCAATTTCTTAAAAAACCCTCAGCCAAATATAATATATATGATGTGAAATCCACGTTGGGCGCCAACTATTCGTAAAAAAGCAGGATGTTTTTTACATAATGGCGTGACCCAAAAACCTGTATAAAAATGTATGTTGGCCCCATTTTGGGCGCCACAAATGTAACAATTGGTCTCAAAAACATGAGCCTTTGTGAAATTTTTTCTCAATGTGATGCCAGCTATACTCTTGCCAAAGGGCTTTACTTGGTGTGTTTTGAATCGACTTTTTTCTATTAAATTTCGATTTCAAATTCCGAACAATACTCCCTTAAAAAATAAATCATTTCTTGATTCCCTTCTTTTCCAAAAATAAAACAACATTTTTTTTATATTTTTAAAAACATGTTGGAAATTTTTACTATAATTAAAATTGTTATTTTTGTTTTGTTTGTTGTGGTTTTGTTTTTCGATTTGTTTTTCTTATTATAATAATATTAAAAACATGCTCATTTTTGTCGAAAATAATATAGAAATAATTATGATCAAATAAAAGGGTTACAAAGAAATGGAAAAAAATGTTTGTGATTGTAATTCAAATATAATAAAAAAATAGAAATAGAAATAAAATTAAAATCAATTTATAGCTTAGGATTATCGAATAGGCTGCCCCGCGTTATAACAATATCCGCATAGGGTCCTTCTTGGGTAATATTTAGGGCACGGAATTTTTTCAACACCAACAGGGAATAGAATTTCTGGGCAGCCTGTTTGCGGGTGTTGTTGCCCGTCAGTTCCGACAGGACGAGGCAATCCTGTTGAACCATGCGATTTTTAACGGCATAGAACATTTGAGCGGCACGCTTATTGAGGACACGTTCTTCAAATTGTTCACTGGTTTCATCTTCCTGTTGTTCCTCATGTGGGGCATTGGGTATTTCAAAGGAGGGAGCGGCGGCGGGAGTAGGTGTCTGTGGTGGTGGGCAATCATTCCAATCGGAAGCCAAACTGGTGGCAATATTATTTGTGGTGGTGTTCGCGGCGTTGTTGTCCTGTTGCGGCATATTTTCCGCCTCCTTTAGTATCGAGGATATTTGATCGACAGGGAGATTTGGTATTGATTCAATGGCCTCAATTTCCGGATGGTGGGGTGTCATTTGTCCATGATGTAAATTACCCGGTGTCATATTGACATGATCGAAGTCGTGATCATTGTCCAGATCGTGGTGTAAGTTACCCAAGTCGCTGGGCAGGGTACTATTCAGATTATCCAAATTGTGAATGTCGTTGAGGGCAAACATGGGATTCGGGCTACGTTGACAATTGTCATAGATGGTGACCTCCGCGGGCGGTAGGGTAGAGTCATTGTGACCAACACCTCCAGCCACATCCAAACGCAGAGAATCAGCGGTGGCATTGATCCCACTCTCCTGTTCTCTCACCTGTTCGGGCAGGGAGACATTCTGTTGGGTTAGGGTTGTGTCTGCGGCGGCGGCTGCAACCACCGTTTCATTTGTGATGGCATCCAATTTACGTTTGCGACCACCCTTTTTGGTAATAATCGCATTGGCATCATTGTCATTTTCATTTTGGATGTGATCGAGGGCCAACATATCGGCCGGACCCAAACAGGTGAAATCTTCCAGCGGGGTGAAACGTGAAATCAAGTGACGATTATAGTTTATCATTAGGACACGGGCCGGTATCATGCGAGAGGGTAGGGAGAACAGTTTTTCCACTCCTCCCGTTTCTTTCCAGTACATCAGACGTTTGGTGGGTGGTGCCAGATCGAGTATGGTCACAATATCCGAGGTATTGGCCAGCTGGGCTTTCATCTCCTCACCGGAAATATTTTTGACCTCATCGACAATAAGTTTACGCTTGCGTTTGGCATTCTTCGTGATGCCCTTATAGGCTGAGGCCTCTATGGGGGCCAGGGCGAAACTTTCTTCTTCATTCTGCAAGAGGGTGGATTGTTCCAAATTCTCATCGACCTGCTCTTGGGGTGGTTGTTTGTTGGGCGATTCCATTTGGGCATGGTCATCTTCATTTTGATGGGCCGGCAAGGGGGAGCCGGGACATGAGGAGGCCGGGGATGGAGCCCTGACATCGAAATGATCATCATCAGAATCTTCAATTATTGGGAGATTTTCCAAGCGCTGTTGTACCTCTGCATCTAAACGTGGCGGTTCCCCAAATAGCTCATCACCAAATAGTTCCGGTTGGCCAAATTCATCACCAAACCCATCGGCCTCCTCGATATCATCCAAACGCGGCTGAGACATATGACTGGGCTCATTGAGACTGATGCTGGCCTCATGACCCTCAGCCCCTCCTCCAGCGGCGCTACTCCTACCCATGTGCGGCATAACTTCATCCTCGAACAGCTGATCATTCATATGCGAATCCAAGTGATCACGCACCATATCCGGCGTGTCACTACCAAATCCAATGTCCCCGAAACCATCATCGTGCAACGAATGCGACATACTGCCATAATCTTCACGCATTGTGATCTCATCGGCCCGCGATTGATTCATGGCAAATTGTGCCTCAATATCGATATCGTTGAGTTCCGGCAAGGCCGTATCGAAATCATGAAATACCTCCGGCAATGTAATGGCATTGACATTCGCCTCGCGATGGCCCTCCGGCAGATCAACCATGCCCGGACGAAAGGCCATTTTGATTTTGACAAAGGCCTCATTACAATCGGCCAGTAGATATTTGGCCTTGCGCGAATAGATGCGGACCACACCCAACAACAGGTGACCGGAGGTGCGCAACGCCAATTTCACCTTGGGCTGCATAATGCCCTCGACGGATTTCTCAATGTTCGTCTCAAAGACATGAGCCTTTGTGATTTTTTTGTCCCAATGTGCCGCCAGCCATACTCTTGCCAAAGGGCCTTTTTTGGCCAATATAATGTGTGCATAAAACATGTTCGGAGAACAACTGTGTCAAACCGAATGATCGAATGACACCGATTCTGACTCTGATGCGTCTTTGTCTGTATAGAGAAGTTTGTTGTAATCTTTGTTGTTCTTGTTGTACTTGGAAGTAGTTGAAGTAGTAGCCTGTTTAAGTTTTGCCTGTCATGTGAAATTTTTTTGTGGTTTCTGGAATTGTAAATATAAAGCAATGGAGAAGAAGAAGAGAAGACTGTAAGAAAATTTGAATTGAATTTTGCAAATTTGTTTTGAATTAAAAAAACAATCTAATATCTAACTATACAACGTTAAAAAAGTGGTAGTAGTGGTAGTAAAAAAAAACAAAAACAACAAAAAAGGAAATTAAAAAATTCAACAATCCAAAAGGATCACTGAGAAGGAAATTAAAAAATTAAATTAATTTAAAACAAAAACGTATGGGGGTTACAGAGGTCAGAGATCTACAGTTGCTTTTTATGTTTTTGCGGTACACATTTCCCCAATATAGAAGAAAAAATGGAGAGAGAAAATATATGGCCCCACGTTGGGCGCCAAACAAAAAAAAGTAAGTGTAAATGATTTGTTGAAATATAAAATAATTCAAATTTGAAATCGTAATTAATATTTACATTAACCAAATGACTAAGGACAAAATAAATGGTTGCCCCACGTTGGGCGCCAATATGTCATCCACTGTTTTATGTGAATGATTTTGTCTTAATTAAAGATAGGTCTAAATTATTAGGTGTTGGTGGTGGTGCTTTGGCATGAGTCGGCTGCTGCATATGATATGGTGACAAATAAAATCAATCGATCAAATGAGAGAGAAAAATAGAGAGAGTAAACAAAATTAACTGGGAATACATACAAGATGATATCGAATGAACAAATTAGCAGGATTATATTAACAACTATATGATACTGCACAATTATATTTATATATTTTTCAAAATCTTCTTGTCATATTCGTCTATGACTATAAGCAGAGGAAGATTTTGCAATAAATTTAAGACATTACAGCAATCCTCCATTCCAGTTTCTTATGTGTCTTAAATAGAGATTGCGTTTGATTTTGTGTATTAAAAACAGATCTGTAAATATATATTCAAAATTTATACACAATAAAATTCTGAATAATGCGGATTTTAATATAATATATTTCTACGAAACATACCTAAAGCGTGCCAATTTCCAAGAAAATCCCAATTTTGTAAATAAGAATAATTGTAAAAGAAATTTTGAATACATCCGAGCCACGTATTTATGAAAAAAAGTATTGGAGTGATATTGTCATGATTTAGAATAGAGCCAGATCGTAGGAAATTCATAGAATTATTTCTACATTTTGAAAAAAAAGAACTCACTCTTCCGGGAGCTTCTAAATGTAAACAATTGCATAAGAAAAAATATTTCAATATGGAGTAAAATCGAAAAATTAATCATGTCGATAAAAATCGGATGCAATAAAATATTTTTAAAAAATATAAAAAATGTAGGCCGACCAAGATCGGTTTGTATTTTTTTTAACCACATCAATGTTGGTTGTTATATGGCCCCACGTTGGGCGCCAAAAATTCTAGACTAACAAATATCAAACTAAATGGTGATTAAACTATAAAAAAATAAATTAAAATCAAAATTGTAAATCATTGCCAAAATTATACATATATATTTTTTTTAGCCTCACGTTGGGCGCCAAAAGTGGCCTTCACTGTATTGTGATATATGTGAATGATTTTGATCGATTATTAGATGGTGATGGTTGGCAGTTGGTTGCTGGGAAAAACAAGTAGGCAAAATCGAGAATAGATATAATGGCCCCATGTTGGGCGCCAAAAGTGTAACATGTGTGAATGGTGATTACACCAAAAAATAAATTAAAATCAAAATTGTTTTGCATTGTGGCATTCCCCCAAAATGAAGATATTATTTGGCTTAACGTTGGGCGCCAAAAGTAGCCCTCATCGTGTTTTGATTTATGCCAATGATGTTCGTTAACAAATTTCAAACTAACATTTGATAATGGTAATTAAAATAAAAAATAAATTAAAATCAAAATTATGATTCATTGTCGCATTCCCAATAATAAAAAAATTTGTCTATTGACTCACGATGAGCGTCAAAAATTGCATTGTCGTTTTGTGATATTTGGCAGTTGGTTGCTGGAAAAATAGGTGAAAAAACTAAGAAAAGATATATGGCCCCACGTTGGGCGCCAAAAAAATATATCAAACTAATGTGTGTGAATGGTGATTAAACTAAAAAACTCAATTAAAATCAGAATTGCAATTGTAATTCATTGTTGCATTCCTCAAAAAGAAAAATATATTATTTTCTCACGTTGGGCGCCAACAATTACATTTATTTCATTTGGCATTTTTTCATTTGTTAGTTGGCAGTTGGTTGTTGGAAAAACAAGCAGAAAAATTGAGGAAAGATATATGGTCCCATGTTGGGCGCCTACAAAATTGTACTTTATCAAATGTCAAACCAATAATGTGTGAATGGAGATTGAACTAAAAAAATAACATCAAAATTGCAATTGTAATTCATTGTCGCATTCCCTATACAGAAATTTCTTTTTATTTGGCCTCACGTTGGGCGCCAAAAATTGCATTCATTGTGTTGTGATATTTGTGAATGATTTTGGCTGATTATTTGAGGTTGATGGTTAGATGACAGTTGGTTGTTGGGAAAAACAAGTAGAAAAACTGAGAAAACATATATGGTCCCACCTTGGGCGCCAACAAATTCTATCAAACTAATATGTGTGAATGGTGATTAAATTGAAGAATCAATTTGAATCAATTTTAATTCATTGCCACATTCTCCATAATGAAAATATTTTCATTTTTTGCCTCACGTTGGGCGCCAAAAATGACATTCATTGTCAAATCATTAACAAATATATTTTGCCCGATGGTGATAATTTACAAAAATAGAATAAAAACTGAGGGGAAAAGTATTTCAAAAAAATGTCAAAAATATTGATCACTCAATTATTCGGTATCTAATGAGAATGCACATTTTCAAAATACATTCAAATCCAGCTCAAAGTACTGAATATTTACTGGTCCTGTTATATTTGGGGGCTATTGGCGCCTGTGGACATATATATCCCATTTATCTTGGCTTCATCAGGATAGGAAAATTGAAAACGTCTTGATTTTCAACTCTACAATTTCTCTGAGATAACCTATATTTACATAGGAAGAATCGATATTACACCAAACATGAATAAATGCGAACGGCTCAGCTCTGAAATATTTTTTTGACAGTATTTTTAAGGCATGGATGAAATATATATTTTTTAAATGAGGTGGTTAGAAGTTCTCTATAAAATTTTCTGCCTATAAAAATAGTTCTGTGAGAGTTATTGAAGTCGTTATTACACGATAGTTCAAAGTGCTCATATGTGAAAAATTCCGTTTTTAAGAGAACCTTTTTCCCAGTTCTCGAAAATGTAAAAACGGCGGTTACAGCGGTTTCTTCTTTGTTTGATCCCTGATCCCTTTTGGCCTTTGAGAAATATATTTTTTTAAACTCCACGTTTTTTTTAATTGATGATGGCATTTTTATTATTTCCGATAACGAAAAAATGCCACAATATTTTCAACACTAAAAATATAACTTAAATAATACACTCAATAAAAGACCTTCTGTTGTGAGTGGTTGGTGATTGAATACAGTATTCAAATAAATTCAGTTAGAAAAACAAAACTTCAAATACAAATTCGTCACCTATTTTTAAATGACAAATGCAAAACTAAGAAGTCTGAGGGAATATTTACGGATACTCTTGCCTAACATAACATAAAAAATATCCGCTACATACAACCTACAATAATTTGCCGGCTTTTTATGTGTCATTTTAAATTTAAAAATTTATTTTATTTATTCATATTTTTTTTGTTTAATAAAACCCAAAAACAGCAACAACAAACACCAACATTGCAATTAATTAGCAAACCACGTCGCTGTGGCTGGGAATTTATTTCAAGGTAGCGGCAGGCAGTAGCAGCAAAATTTTAATTGACTCTCCCCCTCTTCATCGTAATTTGCCTTTTGTATATTGATTCAAGTGTTGGTGTGTTGAGTTTGGGTGTTTTTTTTTTATTCTGGTAATTATGGTTTCCAATGAATCACTTGAAAATAAAAATTGTCGGTTATTTTTTGAACACCAAAAAAATAAATCATTCTCAAACAACGACAACTTAACAAAGTGTTTGACAACGCCATCGTTAATTCTTTCCAAATTAGGATCGAACTTGGTTGTTGTTTGGCAAATTTGCACGTTTCGTGGAATTTACTTTTTAGAGGGAAACACACAATAACTAAATTTGAAATTTTAACACGTTTTGTAGAAATTCTTTTATTGTTAGTGTTGCTGCTGTTGTTATTATACAGCCCTATTTGTCCGTTAAATAATATTGAGGGATTATGTCACATGAATAGCTCCGAATATAATTAAATTTCATTTTTATAATTTATAAGTCTTCTGTGAAGATTTTCTAAGGGTACTCAGAAATTTATTAAAATTTTATTTCATGGATATTCTATAGAATCACTTCTATCTGAAGAATTACCGTGTTCTATTAAACTTCTGGTTAATTTCAATTTTCCAAAAAAACAAATTTTTTAGTTTTTTGCGTGTAATATCGGCTTAAACAAATCTTACAATAGTATAAAAGACCAAAGAATACATTTGTAGCTATGGAAATTCTTCAAAATATACACTTATTAGGATCCGATTATATTTCAAATATATTTAAAAAATCTACTTTCTTAATTCTGAAACGTTTGAAATTTTCAAAATTTTTTGTAAAATATTATGCGAGAGAAAATGTTGTCTACACCCAAGAGCAAAATAAAAATAGACGTCATTGTTTTGTCAGTATTTTTTTTTTTTTTAACTTAGGGTGGCGGTTGTGGTAATGCTGTACAATGACTTTTTTCTTAATTACCAAGATCACATGTCACTGTATCCCACCATCACACCACATTGCATGACT